TCTCTCTCTCTCTCTCTCTCTCTCTCTCTCTCTCTCTCTCTCTCTCTCTCTCTCTCTCTCTCTCTCTCTCTCTCTCTGTTTAGTTTTTATAGAGATGTAACTGTGATAGAGATTGAGTCAGCTCTTACGTGTATTTACTACTCATGCATCGTGGCATCTTTGTCTCTATCAGCTTTTTGTTTTGTTTCTCTATTTAAGAGGATTTCGATTTCCAACTCTTCTCTATATAATTGTTTCTGTAAAAGCATAAAAATAACAAGGCGTGACACCAAATAATAAAGAGTTGGTATATGTTTCTTTCCTCAGGATATGAGATTTTGTATAACATTATATGGACTAAAAGTTAAAAACAAAAAAATTATACAATCGTTATAGGCGTGACACCAAATAATAAGATTTGGTATATGTTTCTTTCCTTAGTATATGAGATTTTGTTATATATAATTAATTGATCGTTGCTTTATAAATTAAATAATTTTGAGGAATATTCATATAGTTGTTTTCTAATTCAGTCTAAGCCGCCTGGCACTTTTTCTCTAATCTAACCAATCACATAAACTTTTCAGCAACAAGTCTCTTTACTTGATTTTTCCACAACAAATATTATAAAAGATAAAAATTCAATCTCTCCCAAGAAAATAACTTTTTATCTCATTTGTTAACATCTAGAAGCCACAGGTTACACATCAAAAAACTTCTCCAAAACCTCATGGTAGATCAAAGCTCTCTGTGCTCTCTCTCTCCCATTATCTGTAATACGACGCCATTACATAGAGCATCAAAGCCGATGAAGCCGTCACTATAAGTTCCTGCAATCCAGCATCAATGTCAGTACTATTGATTTTGTTCTTGTTGAATATCACAAAGCCTAGTTAATGGTTATCTATGATGGAACAGTTAAATTTAGAGATCATGGCAAAACATATACAACATGGAACTTCTCACTAACTGTATAAAAGTTGTGCATCTAGTTTTCATATCAGTAGAAGTACACACACCACAATACCTACTAATTATCTACAACCTAAGCCAACTATTGACTTAATGATCCTACACAAAAATGATCGTTTTGTGTGGGGACTAAGTTTAGGGATGGGTGGTCCAAGTGAAGAGAGGTGGGTTTAGGCAAGAACATTAACCTGGTTACTGTAAAGGGCTATAGGTATGGAGCTGCCCATGTACTCGATGACATTTAAGATCCCAGTGTAAGCCTGCAAAGAATGATTCTCGAAGGATTATAATATAATCAAGTTAAAGAACTCTAAGATATCTTATAACAATCATGAGGATACAAAAAAATAATAATGTTTTCACACTGTGAGCTGTATTTATATCACAGTGTCAGCTAGTGCAACATAAAATAGATATTTAAAATAGAGGAGTCTTGATAGAGTTTACATACCAAGGATGCAGCAAGTATAGAGCCGAAAAGGCGAAAACTAATGAAAGAGACCGAAGAAGCCTCTTTCCCATTTTCAATCCTCGTCCATTTTCTTCACCTTCCTCCTGCAGCCAATGTCAATATCAATGCTAATCAGGACTATAAGAGCCACGAGGTGAATCGACATTAGACAACAAGGCATCAATTTTTTTTCAAAGCTCACGTTATATGTTGGAGTTGAAGGTGCTTCAAAGGATTTCAGTTTCTCAAAAATTCTGTAAACAAACACAAAGGACATGAACTGCAACGGTTTGTACTCAACATTTCGTTTGATGGCAATCCATGCACTCTGCAGAAAAGAGAGGGAAATAGAGACAGAGAAATATTCATATATGATTGTAAAAACTGCAGCATAACCCTCAAAACCCCATTCTTCCAAACTACTTACAAACACAGCTGAGATTGCAAGGTTGATCAACATATCGTTCTTGGGGGACTTGGAATACCTGTAAGAAGATGGCTCAATAAATTATAAATTATAACATGCTCATGAAGGATGAACATAAATAATCTGAATAAACTCACAAAGAATCTCTTACCTTGGACCCCATGGTATAATGGGCATCTTATCAGCATATCTAATGTCTTTGGAAACCTGAAATTATGAGATAATTTCACCCAGGATTAAGAAAGGAAGTTCAAGACGGCATAATATGACTAGAAAGGAGGAAACGATACATACCTTAAAGGAACCAAAAGTCACACCTTTTTTCCTATTCATTAACTGGGAATACATGAGCTTATCATATGCTTTCTCAAGCTATCAAAAGGAAGAAAACAGAGACGTGTTAGCAATAAAAGAAAAAAGGAAACAAAAGAAAGAGAGAGGGAGAGGCAACTTACTTGAGCAGCAGTGGCTTCATCACCACTCCTCTGAGCTTCTTTAAGTCTTCTTGAGTAAGTTTGCTTGATCTTGTCAAATCCCTCTATAGGGTTAACCCATAAGAGAGAGAGAGACACAATGACTAGCAAGAAAAAAAAAAGGGTCCTTTTCAGAGGGATGAAAATTGACTAAAGATAAAGGCTTTCTCACTAAGTAAGTAAGCAAGTAATAGAGATGAGCTTCCTTCAATTTTAAAGCCAAAGAAGACTATACCTGACAAAAGACGGAGACTTGGGAAGAGTAGTATTGGGCACAGACGTAGCAATTAACAAGTGAGACTTCGGTGGAGCAAGACTACTTGGCTTTAGCAATTAACTTTGCGTAGCCTAATGGATAAGGCGCTCGCCTCTGGAGCTGGAGCTCAAGGGTTCGATTCCTGAACGATTAACGGTCTAAGTTTGTTCACATTATTCTGGGCAGGAAGCTTTCTTCTTATTTTCACTCATAGACAAAGTCTTTGTGATTTATATTCGGCCTTTATTATGTTTTGGGCCGGATATATCGAAGCTTTGATTAAATGTTTTGATTTATCAGCTCAAAACGAGGTGTTTTGATCGCACATGCGGGTTTAGTTATCTTTAAATCAGTTTAAAAAATCATCAAAATAAATGATTATTTGCATCCAAAAAATTCGATCTAAAACATTAAACTTTTTACATGATAAAGTTATTCTTTTTTTTTTTTGAGCAACGATAAAGTTATTCATAAGTTAAAAAATCTATTTTTTCCTATAAAATTTTGAAAAATCTAAGGTTTATTTCACTTCTTTTTATTAATAAAAAATATAGAAATTTATATTTCAATTTGAAAAAATGAATCAATAAATATACATTAAAAATTTATCTTACAGTGAGAATAATATTATTTTGGATAATAATACAATATATTTGAATTTATTTTTTTCAAACACGTATTATAATTTATTTTTTTCAAACACTTAATAAAATATATTTGAATTTATTTTCTTTCTTTTTAAATGATTTTTTATTTTAATTTAAAAATAATTACATATTATAATTTTCAATTTTCTCTTTTGAATTATATACAATTAAATTTTACTTTATGAATATTTATTTATGTGTTTTCTGTTTTTGAATTTTCTTTTTATTAAAAGTATATTTTCCGGATAACAACACAATAAATATAAGAATTATCTTTTTATTTTTAAATATATATTTAGATTATGGATAATTCTTATCATTAATATTAATTTAAATCATTTCTCTAATCAAATCAGTATTAAATTCGTTTTTAGTTTTTGGCTTAATTTATTATTATAGATATTTATTCATTAAGGGCATACACGATATTAACCGCTCCAACTTTTAACGTGCGAGCTCTGTTGCGAAAAATCACTTCGCAAATAATAGTATAGACTATGATTAGATCCGCGCCTTGCGCGGGATGAAATAATTAAATTTGCTGTATTTTTGAAAAAAAGACATTAAATCTGTTTTATTAGGATATTAGTTTGTTTTCGATTGGTTGTTTCGGGTTATAATATCGTCCAATTATAAATCTATATTTTAAATATTGTTTTTCCGTTAAATTGAGATTGTGATTTAATGGTGATAACACAATGACTAAAATTAATTATTTAGTGTCATCTTATATCAAATCAATTTATTGTAAAATATAAACAAATAATTCATTAAACAATATTTCATTAAAACATATTAACCAAGTAAAACACACTTATTTACCTTCTCTGCTATTTAATTTCATAATACCTCCATTATCTAATTTTAAACTATTAGTTTATAGCATTTTTATTAATTCGGCATCCCTTTATATAATGCAATAATAAAGACTTTTTCGAAATATAGTAATTTATTTCGAATGAATGTAAAATTATAATTAAATCACTACTCATTATATATCTAGTGCATCTGTTTTATATAAGTACTCCAAGTATTTAAACAAAACTACTCAAATACTGCTAATACCCCTCCTCACTATAGTAAGTCTCTAGGTTAAGCAAGATAGAGAAATCTAATATAAATAAAATAAACTCAATTCCATTATAATAAAGATGCATAATCTCATTCTTCCGAAAACAAAGAATGGTCTAAATATAAATAGGTGTTATATAAAAACAACTTCATTCAATAATTAGATAGAATAACTTCGAAACTTCAGACCACCTGCAGCAGAATACTGTTTCCACAACCGTATGATCTTCACCCTGATCTTCCACACGACTTGAATGGTTTCAAATCACACACAGCAGTTATGGCAGCCATTAGAGTAGAATGTATAGAACCTTTAAAGTTTTTGAATGTATAGATGCAATTAACTTAATGGGAGAAAGTGAGCTTATATAGATTATGTAAACCTAATTCCGTCAGACAAAGAGCCGGTGTTACATTAATACCATATATTCCCACCTTGCCATTCACTCCAAGTTATAAATATATATATATATATATATATATTACCATAATATACATACTCCAATTCTTTTTTATTCAGTATCATTAATTTACCTTGCAACACACTCCCAACCATTAAATATTAAATTAACATATTTTCTGTAATATTTTTTTATGGTTTACTTCGAATTATTATTCAGGATGGTTTACTTTGCGTATCCAATTAATTCTGGTTTACTTTGCACATTATGCTACGTGCATGGATATAAATAAAACGTTCTTGCTTTTTAGGAACTTATCATCGGCTATTTGCTTCTTAGGAACGTATAAATATTTAATGGTTGGAACATAAATTTCTTATCATATTTTTGGTACATGCATAAATATAAATAAAACGTACTTGCTTCTTTGACATAAATTTCTCATTATATTTTTGTAATATCTACACGAATACAGTTATCGATTCGTTTAAAGAGTTGGTACTTGCTTCTTAGGAACTTATCATCGGCTCATCATAAGAACTTATCATCGGTTCGTTTCAAGAGTTTGTATTTGCTTTTGTCTAGCTTCATGCAAGATGTTAAGAGACATGATCACTTTCTCCGGCGGGAATAATCATGAACATGATCACTCCATTGTGATCTTATCCCTTATATATCTGAAAAAAACATATCCATCATGGTTATTTTTTACATTTAATAATGTAAAAATTTGGAAATTATTAATTACAAATATTATGGTTTTTGGTAAAATTTTATAAGACAATACCTTGTAATATATTTTCAGAATCGCATTCAAATATTTATGTGGTTACCAAAGACATTTTTCTGTTGTTACTCAGACTTCATATTGATAATTTTCATATGGAAAGCATACGATATTGCCATATACGAAAAAGCATGGAGTGATAGAGACAACTCATTGCTCGGAATACGCATGTAAAAAGCTTGATGTAGGCTATTGGCATTTGGACTGACATTTCAAATTTCAAGCTTTCATCTTTTGTTACACCTATCAACGAAATATTCCTTATGTTTCCCAATAACAGTAGAGTTTCTTCCTTATTAATCAACTTGCTTTGGTTATCTCCCATCATCTCCAAGCATAAGAATTAACACAATTGAGAGCAAGAACATAGAGAGATATTTCTTTCATCCGAGCAACTTCCAAGGAAAATCATGTACCATGGCATCAGAAACCACTGTTAACAACTACCACAGCGACGTAACCGGTGATGCCACTGAGAACAATGACTACTTGAACCCGGATGCCACCACGTACTTCAGGAACGTCAGCCTCATGTATTTCGCTGCAAATCCATTCGCAATGTTGACCAACCACGCTAGGTTTAAGGAACTGTGCTTAGAGAATGATAACCCCGAGGCCCACTACATTGAGGGTATACTGAGATTCTTCGTCCACCAAGAAAGAAAGAAAGGTCTCTTTCATCTACGCCAGTCTGCCATTGGGAACAATTCAAACGGTATGTATCTTTACAGTTTGTTAATGCTTGCCCGAAGTAGCTATCTAACAGGTTCAAGGTACTTGGACAAACCAAAATGAACAGAAAACCTATCAACCTCTAATCAATGCTGGGAAAGAATCAAGAATTCACTCAAAGAGATCCATGTTGCTATGAAGAGAAAGTACTATATTAGTATAGTAAACCTTGAGCCACGGACAAACTGCAATCTTGATGACTATGGCGAAGTATGCGAGCATTGTTACTACTATAAAAGGCTTAGACTATCTGTGAAATTTGCTACTGATAATGAATAAATCGTTACCTGATGTGTGTGTTAACTCTATCTATGCAATAGGTCTAAGTTTCAATTTATAATCCTTATTTTTTTTGTCTATTTTTTTGTTCTTTCTCTAGCAGACTACTTTAATCCCTTATATTTGCGAAGACCACCGATTTAATACTGTGGTGAGATAAGACATAGACCTCCTTGTGCGGAAGAACTACAGACCACCGATATAATAGTAGAATGAGATGGGACAGAGACCTCCATGTTGGAAGAACTACAAATTACTTGCAATACAAATTTCACAACTAAAAATGTAATCGTTAAATTAAGTAGTGGAATTATAAGTAAGAAATTAATAATTAGAAAGAGGCTTTATATTAATAAAGCAAGCATGACAAAAGCGTAGGTTCATCCCTTATATATTGAAACACTGATGTAAAAATTGGTAAACGAAAATTATAAGATTCGTAGACGATAATACATTGAGAGACTCGCGGTTATCTAAAGAATGGTGGATTTAGTCGTTTTGTTGTGTTGAAACTGAAGATTTGCAAGAATGATGGAGTTAGTGGTTTTGTTATCTAAAAAGCCTAGGTCCTATGAATAATGGTGACATTAGAAACATGTTTCAGTTATTTGTTTCGTCGAATATTGACACAAAAGATAATAGCTAAGCTTCCTCTCACAAACCTTACACAAACACATATGCTTACTTGGCAAAAACAACATACACTCATCTCTAACTCCACAAAATGTACAAAACTTATGTTAATGTCATCGTTTTACTGTTTCTCCCATCGTTTTACGTCATCTTAACGTCATCGTGAACCAAGAAGCCGTGTCATCCATATATGAGC